CCCACTCTGGAAAAAGGACGTTGGTCTTACCTGAACGTCTATTTTCTGATGGGAGGAGGGAATGGTCACAACCCGCCCTGAGTTCTGTCTGATGGGGCCAAGGGGAGGGCCCGGGGGGTTCCCGGGGTTTGTTGTGTTGTTGTTTTCTTGTCTTTCAGTTGTACCGTTCATGTTCGAGAATCTGGGCTAGCAATGGACAGGCACCGGTATTTATAGATTTCCTCTCAGTCTTGGACCAATCAGGCTGTGATAAAACCCACGTGTGACCATTCCCTCCTCTCATCAGAAAATAGACGTTCAGGTAAGACCAACGTCCTTTCTCAACGGGCCTTTAGGGGCCCTGAGCTACTTTACTCTACATAACAAAGATGGGATTAACCTTCTACAGAAACTCACCACATGGCACCTGGGAACTCAACCAATCTTGCAGTCAAAACACAGCCTAGAGAGTTGTCCCTACATGGCCCCATGGGAGTCTGACAACCAATCAGAATACATTTCTTACACAGGAACAGGAAACAGAGAGATGGGGCTGAACAGAGAGTATAAAAAACCCAGCAAGCCCCTTCTTTTCTCTCTCTTCTTCTTCACCCAACATCTGGAAGCATGTGACCCCCCCCTTTTCTGTTCAGGACCTCCAGCTGTGTGGTCCTGTCCATCTCTCCAAGCAGCCTCCTTGTCTCCGGTGTCTTTGGAGTGAACCCAGAAGGACATTTCTTCCAACGGGAGAAATGGAGCTTCCTGCATAGTAAAACAGCCACCAACAAATGCAAGAAGTCTTTAGAAATGGGTATTTGTGCCCATTAAGAAACCTGGACCAATCTATTGATAAACCAAACATTTTCAGCCCCAGGGTGATGGGATTAAGAAGGACAGGACATGATGTTTTAGGACATAATAAGATTAACCCACCACCATTTAGGAAAAGAGACAAACCTCTTCATTGCACAATCCCCAGAACAGTTCAGAACAGCACTTCAAAGTCACAGAAACCTATAAAGAGTCATCCATTCATTCAACCATTTGGTCAGCTGTCCCAGAACCACAAGTTGTTCATCCATAAACAGAATCTTTCTTTCCAACCAGCCGCATTCGAAGCACGGAGATGATGGCCCTCTTGTTTGAAGGGCACTGGGTGAAGATTGGAGGAATGGGTCAGGTCCACCATTGGATTCTGGTGTCCTGCCATTGTGCTGGGAGAGGGAGGGGATATGCTTGGGATTTTTCCACTTCTGCTGTGTGCCTGGGAATTAGGGAAGGAGACAGTCTTTGGAGACAGAGGACTCCTTCCCAGCAGGTTTTTGTCAGGTTCCAAGGTTGTTGCCCCCCTGAGCGTGAACACTTATCAGCCTTCTCAAAACATCTTCTCAGCAGTATATTGGCTGATGGTGGGGGGTGTTGTTGGGATTGGGAAACTGAAATAATTGCTTTTGCTTTGCGTGGGAACTTCAGATTCCGCCTGACTTTACTGCAGCCACTTTATCTCAGTAAAAGTTCTTTTGATTCAACCCAAAAGTTTTGTTTTTCCTGAGAGGGCTGATGGGGGGTAGGCCTGACAGAATGCCCAGAACTGAAGATTCCCTGTTTTTTCATCTTCCCTCCTTCCCTGTTAGGCTCTTTCCAGCACACTCTGCTCTATAAGTACATGTTGGTATCCGAACCTGGTGAGGGGCTGTCCCAGTTCATCACGGTGGGCTATCTGGATGACCAGATCATCACTCACTATGACAGCCAGAATAAGAAGAAGGTGCCAAGGGTTGACTGGATGAGGCAGGTGGAGAAGGAGGATGCCAACTATTGGAAGGAGGGAAGCTTTATCTTGAATAAAACCCAGCAGGTGTTGCAAGAGGATCTGAGGCAAGTTCAAAACCGCTACAAGCAGAATGGAGGTGAGCGAAGGCAGAATTGACCCCTGGGGCCTCTGGGGTGTGGCGGTTGATAGATGGTGTATGAAGAAATAATCCATCTGTAAGACCTGTATTCATCATTCTCAAGGTTTTTCTCCTTCAACCAATTGGATTAGAACCCGGGGGGGGCGGGGATGGATAACTGTGGCACCTTTACAACTTGTGGACTTCAACTCCCAGAAATCTGGCTGGCTCATTGAAGTCCACAGGTCATAAAGAGGGCATAGGTGCCCACCATGCATTAGAACAGGGCATGCATTTGGCACTGAGTGCTGAAAAGGGAGCATGCACACACGCCCGTCAGAACTGCAACCCGGATGAGGAGCTGCTTAGGGGGCATGCACACGTCAAGAAATGAATTCCAGTTTCTGGCATGTATGCATGCATGTGTGATGATCAGCTGGCTGGTCACATGTGCACGCTGGAAACTGGAAGTTCAGCTTTTGGGTTTCCAGCACTGTTGCATGCACGAAGGCCATACGTGCCAGAAACCTGGAAGAGGGATGGGCAATGTGTGCCAGGCAACATGACTCTGCGTGTCACTTTGGCATCATGGCATTAGAAGAAGGAAGTGAATAGCGTTCCTCCTCTTTTTAATCTCTTGCCTATTGGAGGCATGTGGGGTATTGTGGGGGGGAAGAATGAGGGAAGCCCCCCACCCAATAAAGAAAGGGAGATGCTGGTCTGCAGTCCTGGTTGCACGAGCTTAAATGGACTCCGGAGGATGGTAGAGGATAGGAAGGCCTGGAGGAGCGTTGCCCATGGGGTCGCGATGAGTCGGACACGACTTCGCAACTAACAACAACAAATCCGATTTCAGGGGATGGAAAGTCTTGAGTATCAATAACCATTAAGCAGTGGAGTAGCTTAACTTCCTGCTGCAGTTACCTTTGGTGGGATGAAAGGGAGGTGAGCCTCTTTTGTGGGGGTTTCTGCGGAGGGGGACCCTCGGGGCTCCTCCTCACCCCTTTCTGCGATTTGTTTTTTCTTCAGGGTTTCACACATGGCAGCTGATGTATGGCTGTGCACTCCAGCGAGACGAGAGCAAAAGAGGGTTTATGCAGTATGGCTACGACGGGAGGACCTTCATCAGCTTCGACAAGGAGGCCCTCACCTGGGTGGCTCCCGTCCCCCAGGCCAAGATCACCCAGAGGAGTTGGGATGCTAATGTGCAGTGGTCCCAGAGGAATAAGGAGTACCTGGAGGAGGAGTGCATTAAGTGGCTGGAAAACTACCTGTCCTACGGGCAGGAGACGCTGCTGAGGACAGGTGCGTCCCCTGAGGGGGGAGGAGAAATACAGTGCTGGATTTATATTGCATGAGATGAGGTCCTAAGCTACTGTTTCGTAACCATGGCAATCTGAAGATGTCTGGACTTCAACTCCCAGCTTTGCTGGTTGGGGAATTCTGGGAGTTGAAGTCCAGACATCTTCAGATTGCCATGGTTACGAAACAGT